CCTGAAGGTGGAGGAGCAGCAATGGGTGACCCTGCACAAACAGTGCCAGGCCTTGAACAACTCTCTCATTTGCCTTTTACATGCTGTGGCTTGCACACAAACAGGAGCATTTCCTTGTGCACATCTTCCCCATCCCAAAGTGATCCTCTTCCACAAAATAACGAGGACACCGAGTCTGGCTCACGTGGTCTGCAGCACGCGTCCCACTGCCACGTCAGGCCCTTGGGCTGGCAGGTACAAGCTTAGTCCCTGAGGCTGAACAGAGTGAATGAGCAAAAGCTGTCATCCGTTTTTCTTGATTTTAAATAAAACACACCTACAATGTATTCATTTCTTTAAAGTGGTGGTTCCTAACTTACTGATGTCTTACTAGTGAGGCTATCACACGAGTGAAATGAAAGCTGAGAGCTGAGACTAGTTTTTACCTTCCTAAAATACATCAGGTCCTGACCTTGGCATCCTCATCCAGCTCAGTCTGAGACCTCCAACTGGCTACTTCCTTTCTCTCATATTTTGTCCGCTTCCTATGACAGTCTCTACTCCAAGTTGTTAATGTCTGTATCCTGTGGTAGGGCTCCTTAGGCTCCTCTTCAAGGATTACAAAGTCAAAGTTGCAATGTCTGCCAATAAAGTGAAGGATTTTTCACACACATTTGCATAACAACTACCAGATTTCTCCTTTGTTCTGTTAAAATTCAAGTGTAGGCAAAAGTTTTAACCTTTTACTGGCAATGGCTTAATACAAAGTTCCTACAAGAACGTGTGAGGTGGAGATGTGGCAGCAGGTGAACACACTACTAAAGTGCTAAAGACATCAGGAAAATACAGTCAGGACGTGAGAGAAAATCCTGCATCTTCTCTGTTCAACGGGAAAGAGAGGACTGAAATGCCACCCAAGATTTTTTTTTCTTCTTTAAACCTCATCTCATGTTGCCTGAAGTTCAGTGCTTAAAGTAGACAGCAAGTCAGAGAGATGGGTTTTTCACATTTTTATTTACTAAGGTTTTTATTTTGTGTTTTATATTGCAAACCCCACCCCTAGAACTCTTCCCTCCCTTCCCCCCATAACAAACCAAAAAATAACAGTAATAATTAATATAGTTCCACCTACTGAGACAAGCCTAGTGTTGACTGGGGTCCAGTCGGAATAACTCAATATTGGCTACTGCACTGCTAAGAACTGGAAAATCAAACAATATCCCCGTGAAAAACGAAGCAAAGGAACCCAACCGAAGAAGGATGTTCACCAGAGTGGTGGATGGAACGCATGTCTACCAGAGACAGCCCTCGGGGTGTTTCTGTGCACCTCCGTTTGTCTGAGTGTCCACAGGGGTTGTTGAGATTCAAGTACCAATGCAGCAGTCACGGGACAGTCATCCATGAGGGCTTGGCATTGCTGGGCTGAAGACTTTCCCACCTGCTTATGTCAGATACCCCAAACCCAACCAGCTTAACTCCCAGCCTCTTGAGATGCTCATTCTAAGGGCCCTGTAGCATATGGGGAAGAAAGATTGCTAGAAGAGATCTAAAACTGAAAAGGATATTGTGAGTCTTCCTTCTAGGAACTGCCTCGTACCTTTGAAAACATGAGAGTGTGAGTCTGCTTCAACTGATCAGTCAACTGATTCTGTTTCAAGATGAACCTGTACATATTTGGAAAAGCAGGATCTACATATTATAATTATCACCTGCCAATCAGTCCTACAGGAGGGTCAAAATCGACATGTATTTTAAAACTAGGAGATATATATATATATAAATGTGTGTGTGGGTGTGGGTGTGGGTGTGTGCGCACGTGCGTGCTTACACATGTGCGTAAATAGACTACGTATGTGTATAACTGTGTACTATATATAGAAAAGCATGTGTGTATATATAGAGATATATATAAAATCTATACACACACACACACACGCACACACACACATGCACCCCTCCCACCACACACACTCACACGTATATAGTTGTATGTAGCTAGTAGAAAAAACATTTCTAGAGTTCCCCCAACCCTTTAAGGAAGACCAAAGCTGATTACATCTGAATTCTGAGCCACCAAAGCACATTGAAGCAGGAGTGCCCAGTAATGCTTGCAGCAACATTCAAGATACAGGCACATGTCAAGATTTCTGCAAATAATTTGGTATAAAAAAACGACTGTCAGCCAGTGTTTTGGGAGAATCGGGGTGGAAGGAGGTAAGAGAGGGAGTTCTATGGACCTGTATCGTTACTGTGATAATAATACGGTTTTTTTGGCACTGCTGCGTGAAGTCCTGCTTCCCCTCTGAGGGCTGGAGGGACCCCATGATAACTGGAAACAGAGGGAGGCTGGACATGTGTTTCTAACACGTGTTAGAAAAGTTGAGCACCTGACACCTTACAGTGAGGTGGCTGGAGACACCTCTTGGCCTAAGGAAAACCAAAAGAGAAAGAAAGGATCAAAGTAAAAGAAAAGGAGACATTTACTCTAGAGGTAAAGGCTGTAGCTTCCCAGTGCTGTGTGCACCCGATGACCCCTTACTGTCTTCATCCCACTTTGACTGCCTTATACCAGGGGAGCCCCACAAATCCAGCTTAAGGTGCCTGCCAGGCCCCAGATGTGTCCAGTGATGCTGCAACTGCAGGGTGAGACCAAAGCCAATCGGGTGCAGGCTGTTATTGCTGGTGAAATCAAGCAAACGATTTCAATTCCCCCATCAGAGGAGAAGCGTGGACCATGGCTACCCAAATTTCCAGTCTAATCTGGTTAACCAGTACAAACATAGTTGTAAATCTGAAGGATTCTTGGCCAGGCACCACTGTTACCCTCCGTGCCTCACAGCTCAAACTCCCCTGGGCTAAGGAGGAAGAGGGCTGGGGTGACTGCACCCCACTTTTCAATCTGTTTCTACCCAGTTCCCTTCAAAAGCAGTCAGCCCATGGACACTGAGACATTAAAATGAGCGAGGGAAGGTTAAAGTGCTGCCTCTTTCTTCATCCTTCCCCTTGCTTTGCACGCCCCAACCTGGAAGGCAGTACACATGCTTTCCAAACCATGGAGAGGTTGAAGCTTGGGCTCTTCTGCTGGCTGAGGGGACTTCTCACACAACCCACATCCACAACGCCTACAAAAACACAGAGGGGATATTCACTGCCCTCCCTGTGACTTACAAGGGATTGTTTCTTGTTCCCACTAGAGCATCGGTGGAATAAGAAAGGAGAAGCAGCTGAAGTCAGGCCCGTCCATCTCCTCGTCACATTAATCATCTTCAGATGGAGTCCAAACAGAAACTCAGCCCTTCTGAAATCCCCTGAAGGGACTGCATTAATGAAATGCACCCCTCTTCTTGCTTTCTCTGCAACCTGCTGACCACAGGAGAAAACCTGGGAGGGAGTGAAACTTTCCAATGCATGCAGCGAGCCATCCGAGTCCCCCTGTGTCTGGGTGCTGTGGGCTAGGTTCACAGCTGCTGAAAAGCGATGCAAAGCTGAGGCCAACCAGAGCTGTTCCACAACCACCAACTGCAGGCCTGACCTGATGCTCCCTTTCATGGCCCACGTCAACTTCAGATCTTTGTCTCAACAGGAAAACCTTTTTTTGGTGGCTTCTATGGCTGATCATTCATATGTTCCAGCTCAGGCACACGCCTCATCTGTGCGTTACCTTGTTGGATTGAATTTGCTCATATCCTTTTGTTCCATGTATTAAAATATTCTATAAAATCAAGTGACCAAAAATCTATAGCTCTAAGAATACCTGGTTATCTTATATTTTTTTGTTGTGGTTTGTTGTTTTTTTTTGTGTGTGTGTGGGGGGGGAGATTTGTTTGTTTCTAATCACAGTTAAACCTAAACAAAAGAAATTGAGAAAAAAAAGAGGGAGGAAAAAAAACCTGAAAGGAAAAAATGATTCATGGAAGTCTAATCAGGAAATGAATTGCACGGCTGACATAACCAGCTCTCAGGAGTCCTCACAAATTGGAGGGCAGTTTGGATCTGACAGGTTCCAGATCCCCTGTGAGCACTATGGATTCTTTCCGCCCACCAGCAGTCAGAGAAGCAGCGCCTGCGGCGCCGGCCCCAAACACCAGCGGATGTGGTAAAGAACCTGAGGACATCTGACGTGGTAAAGTCACGCGCCCAGGAATTGAGCTACAAGGCTTCCCGAGAAGTCCAGTCCCTCCACCAGGAAAAGGAGAGAAGCTGGAAACAGATTCTCTAGAGGAATGAGGAGAATTTTGGCTCAGTGTCTGAGCCAGCTCTTGGGGCAAAGATGGCTGGGAAGCTGAAATCAACTTGATGTCCTGGCTCAGACGTCCTGCTGGCACAGGCGGCGTGCTCTTGGACTGCAGGATCTGTGGAGGTGGGCTGGCGGTCTGCGGCAGGAGCAGAGATCCGTGAGAGCCTGAGGCCCCAGAAGGGCCACATTGAAAAGTTCTTGTTGCCACTGGGCTCTGACTAGGAGGACTAAGGCCAGAAGGGGTATAACAGGGAGAGGCGACGCCAGACTGTTGGAGTGGAGACATGGAGGCAAAAGGTGGCCGTTCTTGATGGAGCTGGGCTATCGTTCCAGTTAAAGATCCTAATGCACTTGGATGTGTTTGGCACAGGCCTGAGGACGGCCCACCAGAGGCCTGTGCCAGCTGGCTTAGGCTGGAGGATGGAGAATTGGAAGAAGGAGGGGGTTGGAAGTGGTTCATTCCCCCCAAAGTTCCACTGCCCGAGAGCTGCTGTAGCTGTCCCCCCTGCAGTGGCCTTGTGGTAGGCTGGAACTGGTTGAGAAGACTGGGAGGTGAGTTTGATGAGAGCTGGGTGAGTGATGTTGATGGGGAGCTACTTGTGGCTTGCTGGAAGTGCCCAAATCCACTGCTGGAAAGGGCTGACTGCTGCTGCTGCTGCTGCTGCTGCATGGGCTGAGCCGTACCTAAGGGTGATCCAGAAGGTGCTTGTTGGAACTGGCTCAGTCCCACCGAGGATGCACCGCTCAAACCTGGCTGGCTTGGGCCACCTGGAGGGGATCCCACCTGGAACTGGCCTAAGCCAGCGGCAGCTGAGAATCCTGCGAGCTGCTGGGTGTGGAAGGAAGAGGATGAAGGGGTTTCTGCTCCTGGTGTATGCAGCTGGGATGGAGTACTGGAGGGAGAGCCAACAGCAGAAGGCCCAGTCGATGGGATTAGAGACTGAAGCCTTTTCAGCTGTCTTGGAGTCTGGTTGGATTGCTGTCCCAAGGAACCCAAGACGGACACCGGAGGCCGGAAGATGGCTGTGGGGAGGCGTGGGTGGTGGGTCAGAGCTATAGCGACAGAAGTGGTGGCTGCTGCAGCTTGCAGGGGTGCCTGGATGAGTGGAGTCCAGATGACAGGGGTGGGTGTGGATGCGGCAGGGGGGGCCA